CAAGTATTTTTCCTACCAAAATGAAATTAAATTACATAAATTAAAATGAGCATAATTAAGCTTGTCTGGAACACTGCTGCCTAAATATGATTTTCAGATGATGCATTTGCTCAGTTTACAGCCCCAGATACAGTTACAGTGAAGAATGTTTAAGTCCGTGACCACTATCTCAAACAAACAGCCAAGAAGTGATACAACCTAAAAACTTGCCTTCTATCTTAAGAGGTCATAAATCCTTCTGATAGCTCGGGCAGCATCAAACTTCAAATTTATTTTGCCTAGTAAAAATTAATTCACGTGAAGGCAAATCCCTGCCGCTTTCCTATGACTGCTTGGGAAGACTTTGCCGCAGTAACCCTAGACCGCCTCTCTGCTCAGGCAGGGACGTGCCAGCAATGAGCCATGGAGCAAATATAGCTGTGCCCTGGCTGTCCTTCAGCTGCCTGATACTTGAGTGTCACCAGCATGAATGTCAGACCCTCAAAAAAGCTTATGAACGTTCTGTATGATTCCTGGACTTGAAGTACTGGGAACATTTATATGGAGCCCTCCTTAAAACCAGAGCACTCCCTCACATTCTGAACAGCTATTAATAAACCTCGTGGAGATTTCAGTCACTGACTCTAGACATTTTCTGTGGGTAAGTATCTTGTGTCTGAGACACAAAACGTGGATCCTGTGCAAGCTAACTCAAATGGATAAACATATACAAACAGCAACACTAAAAATCAAATGTCACTGTGTCCTTTTCTTTATGAAAGGTTAATGGCAAAGTCTTTCTCTCTTTTGTATAAAGAGCAAGTTTATTACCAGGGTTGGCTGGAATCAAGATCAGACTCCAGAAAAATGCTATCAAAAACCGTAATGTCATACACACTTGTTCCGTATATATACATACAGCCCCGTCTCCTGTACATATATTTTAGGCCTCATGGAAAGCTAATTATAATGAAGTGGCTAATGGCTCAGCAAGAGAAGAGTTTTCATATGAACGTATGGCTTCATTCTATGCTCAGTAGCAGGTCACCTGGTAAAAAATACATGGGCCGTATATTACCATTGATTATTGTGATTACCGTAGCACTTGAGCTCTCTATATCCATTTACATCCAGCTGTTATCCAGCAAACATAATCCTCTGCTTGTGAACAAGCTACTGAGCTCACCTTGGGGGCAAGATATTTTTAAACATATTTGAGAACATTGCATTATATGCATATGTATCTATATATACACACATTGACCTTTAAAAGGACAGTGCAAAGGGAAATGCTTATTGCATCTTGGCAGAGCTCTATTTTTTCCTGCTTCAACGCAATAGTTTGCTCTTTCAGTAACTAGAAATTAGTCACTAACACAGCCACAATTGCATTACTGCTGGCAGCACCCCCCTCATTTATGAGGTTAGGGCAGAAATGTTTTCGTTGTAACGTCTCCATTGCCCGATTTTATTGGTGTTCAAAGGCGAGTCTCTTCCTCAGCCATGGCGCAAGTGCCTATGGCTTTTCGCCAATCGTCGCGTTGTTTCACACTGTTTCACACAGCGAGGCAGCTCCCTCCCCCGCGCGCCGCTCCTCAACTTTTCTTTATTTTTACACTTTTCCCCCCAATTTCGCTGTGTGAGGGCCGGGCGCCCCGCCCCCC